TTACTTGTTTAAGTGTTTATGATGTTTGTCCCCTCTGTCTAGATTGCACAACAGTTCCATGTGGGCAGTCTTATTTTTTTAAACATTTTTTATTGATTTATAATCATTTTACAATGTTGTGTCAAATTCCAGTATAGAGCACAATTTTTCAATTATACACGAACATATATATATTCATTGTCACATTTTTTTCTCTGTGAGCTACCATAAGATTTTGTGTATATTTCCCTGTGCTATACAGTATAATCTTGTTATCTATTCTACAATTTTGAAATCCCAGTCTATCTCTTCCCACCCCCTGCCCCCTTGGCAACCACAAGTTTATATTCTATGTCTGTGAGTCTATTTCTGTTTTGTATTTATGCTTTGTATGTTTTTTGTTTGTTTTTGTTTTGTTTTGTTTTAGATTCCACATATAAGCAATCTCATACGGTATTTTTCTTTCTCTTTCTGGCTTACTTCACTTAGAATGACATTCTCCAGGAGCATCCATGTTGCTGCAAATGGCGTTACGTTGTCGGTTTTTATGGCTGAGTAGTATTCCATTGTATAAATATCCCACCTCTTCTTTATCCAGTCATCTGTTGATGGACATTTAGGCTGTTTCCATGTCTTGGCTATTGTAAATAATGCTGCTATGAACATTGGGGTGCACGTGTCATCCTGAAGTAGGGTTCCTTCTGGATATATACCCAGGAGTGGGATTCCTGGGTCATATGGTAAGTCTATTCCTAGTCTTTTGAGGAATCTCCATACTGTTTTCCACAGTGGCTGCACCAAACTGGGCAGACTTATTTTTAGTCACTGTTATGTTCCCAGCATTTAGAAAGGTGCCTGGCATACTGTAGGCACTAAATAAATATTTGTTGGATTGAAATACAAGTGCAATACAGTTTGATCCTTATAGTGGCAGTGCATATAAGATGCAGTAGGAAGTAGAGGAAAGGGTGACATGACTACCTAGGAGTTGAGGGAAGTCTTTACAAAGATGCCCTGAAAAAGATTTCCCTGTTTGGGGAAAAAAATCAGATGAGAGCATCCCATACCATGACAATAGCATTGCAGACATGAGAGAACACAGTGTGTTCAAGGGACCAAAAGTACAGTACTGCTGGAACATAATTTGTGGGGGTAAAGATTTAGTAGTAGGTGGTGCCAGATCATGAGAGTTTTTATGCCAGACTAAGAAATTTTAGATTTTATCCTGGGGCAGGGGTAGATGGTGTGGAGCCATTGAAGACTTTTGAATGAGTGATATATTTGGTTACATATTTAAAAGGTAACTGGTAACAGTGTGAAGGATGGGGATCAAAGCTAAATACTGCATTTTATTATATACTCTGTGTACGATGTTGCAAGATATATATGATGCAGAGAAACAGTTACTATCACATGGAGGGGCAGGTGGCTATTGCATTTTATGGTTGGACAAAACCACTCATGTGTAGTGTGAAGACGTTCTTGGCATACTTGCAGTACATCTGTGAGGGAGAAGAAATGCCCAGTGGAAGATTAGTTCATCTCTAAAAGTCTATTCTTTAGGATAGAAGCGTTTTAAAAAAAATTTTGGTTAACAATTATATTGTAAGTCATGTAAACTAGAAAAGTTATTAATAAGAGTACCAGTTATGAATTCAACAAGAAGGGGTGTTGTTATAGAATAAAAGATGTGTTTGAAAGCCAGCCTCCTTTCTTCATAGAAGAGCAGTTGTTTTGTCAATAATATGCCTCCTGACCTTGATTCATTGTTGAAGGACATAGTGACAGTTGTAAATGTCATTAGATTATATATTATTTGCTACAGGACCAATGGTACATCTGCCTTTGTAGGACAAATACCTGCTTTTGCATATAGTAGTACCCTGGCATGGACAGAGTTTTTTAAATGAAGAATAAGCTAAAACATTTCTTACTTTCGTTCAAATGAAGTAAAAACCACTTACATCATTTCAGCTGTCTTGCTCAAGTGTCCTATCTCAGCAATGTATTAAATGTCTTGACTACTTTAATCTTACTACTTTAGAGTCAAAATAAGATGTGTAAATTTGAGGATAAGATGGAGGTGCCAGAAACGGTGCACATGGTTTGGATGTTGAGTGTTTGGCACAACCAAGTTCGTGGAAACATGATCCTGTATCATTGAACGTGTTTTAAAAACCACATCCAAATGCTAAAGTGGGAAACAAAGAAATGTTTTCCAGACGCAGATACCGCAATACAGAGAATTAAGATCCATTTGTCTCCATTTCCCAAGTTGAAGCATTCACCTCTTGTGCACACTTTGCTATTCAACTCATTGTCTAATGGAACAATAAAAGTAGTTATCAGTGAAACACTGCTTTATAATTTTTGAGTTCATGTTTGATCCAGATAGGGATTTTCAGATTTGTTAGAAAAAATGGAAAAGATAAGAGAAACTAGTCAGGATTAGGTTACAGAATCAACTCTAGCTAATTTAAGCAGAAAGAGATTTAATAAAAGATTTTAAGTGGCTTATAGAGTTGTTGGAAAGACTGAAGAAACGGACTCTAGTCAAACTTTCAGGCATGACGTTCAAAAGCCACATTGCACCTGGGCCACGAGGGGCGTAATTACCACTTTTAGGATCAGAAAGGTGCCTGCAAAATTAGGAAGCTGTAACTTTTAGCTACTAGTCTTAGAACTTTGCCACCTGTGCCATGATGAGAAGTCTGCTGCTATCAGGAAACAGACATCGACAGGCCAGTAAAGTGTGGGTAGTGGATGAAAAGCCCAAAAAAAGGGAGTCAATGGAAAACCATTAGAATGGGTTACGTAAATTGAGGAAGGGTCAGTGTTATCAAATACTAAAGTGTGGTTAAATAAGGTCGCACCAGAAAAGCAGTCCTTTGATTTGGTAACACTTAATATTATTATTGTTCTTGAAAGTTCTAGTAAAGACAGGATCAGAAGCCAAATTTCAGGTTCAAGCTGTGAGTAGGAGGTGAAGGATTGGAGCGAGATTATAAATTAAGTTTTCCAGAAGCTTGCCTTTTAAGGAGCAGTAATTTTTTGTTAGTGTTTTTATTTTTTTGGTCCAAAGCACTTGCTTATTTATATACAGTAATTAACTAGAACTAGTGAGGCCCTACGCAGATATCACATGTAAGACAAGTATATTCTAAAGTACCTGATGTCTGACCTTATTGTGTAGCTTGATATAAAGTGTGTGCTATTAAAATAATCTCTGCTTAGAGATGTAATGGGTACAACGTGATTTTTATTAATTCTCTAACCATTAGTTACTTCATTTTTGTTTTTAAAAATTAAGTTGCAGCTAATTATTTTGATTTTTTTATAAAGTGCCAATTAATTACTACTGTAGTTTGGAGTTACAGTTTAAAGCCTTGATAGCTGACTTAATCAACATATTAACATGATTGGTGATCTGGCATTGATTCAATGAATTTACTTGCAAGGTAGTTTATTTTGAACGTTAGTTAGTGACACTCAAAAGAGTACAGATTATGACAACTGCCTTTCTAAGAAGTGATTTTATGATTTTATGTATTACATAGAAGTTGAATTTTTATTTATTCTAAGTAAATATCTGACAATGTCAAAGTCATTAGATTCTGCTGACAAAATGATCCCCACTGTCTCCCTGTTAAACAGGTGGGTGGTGGAATACGTGTACACTTATACAGTGGCGTTTGCTCAAAACTGCGCTTATGTGAATAAAACAGCAACATGTTCAAGGGCAGTGATTGAGTGTTCCAGATTCCCTCATTAGATATGGAGCATTTTATTATAATTTAATTCCAAATTTGTTTGTCACCTTATATGGTGACCTAGTTGTATTTTCAGTTGAAAGAAAACAAACCAAAACCCTCTGGGTTATACAGAGGGGAGCTGTCAATGAAAGAGAGACTTAAAGGAGAAGATTGGAAATAGAATTGGTTGGCAGTGTCCTGGCGTGAGAGGGAGGGAACGGGGTAGAGAGAGCACTGGTAGATGGATGAGCTTTGGAGAAGAGGAGGGGGATCTCGTCTCTTGTGGAACAGGAGAATGGATGGATGCAAATTCAAATATATATAATTTTTTTCTGTTAGGAAACCAGTGTATTTATAAAGGCCAACTCACATTAGACAATCTGAGGGTCATTTTTAAAGATTAGATTCCTTGATTCTGACTTGAGATGAATATAAGTACGTTTATTCTGTCTAAGTGGTTCCTTGACCTTTTTCCTAACCTCTCAGTGACAGACTTAACAATGAGTATCTTACTGGTGCCTTTCCATTGATTTTCTAATTTTAATTTTAGAAAACTATTTGTTATTGGGTTTTTCATCAGTGCTTCTTAAGTTTCTGATTGACTTTAAAATATATTGGTTTAAGTGGCCTTTAAAGTTGACAAACAGAAAGAGACTTGAGTTTATCTAGCTCAGGCTTTCATCAGGAAAACTGTTCTTCAGAGCTTTGTCTGAAGTCGTTTGCTGCTTAGTGGCAGAGGTAAGACAGGAGCATTCGTTTCATGATTCTCAGGGAAATGCTCTTGCCCTGTGCCAACCACCTTGCTTTCCTAATGTAGTTCACTGGTGTCTGACTTCAGCGCCCACACTTCTGTGTGTCCTTTCAGCCCATGAGCATCTCATCTCACGAGAACTTCAAAACTAGACTTACAGGCTTCTTCTAATATTCATTCAGCAACTATTTCTCAAGTGTCACCTGTGTGACAGTCACTGTTTTAAATCTTGGGGATCAGCAAGTTCTCAGGCCTTGAATTGAAGGAACCAAAAATAAACTTAAGTAAAAATGAACAGTTTCAGTTAATTGTAAATGCTGTCAAGAAAACAAGCAGAAATAGAATATGGTAGCAGGCTTATCTACTTTAGATAAAATAGTCAGGAAGGGTTTTTCTGAGGAAGTGGCATTTGAGCTGAGACCTGAGTGGTAAGAAGAGGCAGCCATAAGGAGTGGGAGGGTTAGAGCGTTCCAGGCAGAGGCCCTCCCCTTGAACAGGCTGGGCATGGTTAATGTAAGGGAAGAGGGTGAGTGGGAGGAGAAGAGGCCAGAGAGAAGAGCACAGTCCAGTAGAGCTGTGAAGACCATGAAAACAGGGATTTAGAAATGGACTTGTACGCTAAGTGAAATGGAACCGTGTTGGAGTAGGGTAATGACCTGAATAGTGTGTTTAAAAGATCACATGCTTGATGGAAGGTGGGTTGTAGGGTAATACTAATGAAGGCAAGAAGAAGTGGTGGGATTTGGGATTTATTTGGAGGTCTGCTGGATTTACTGATGGGTTGGATATAGGGGTGGGAGGTTTTGGAAGGATAGTGAAAAAGAGAGAAGATGGTGGTAGACTGGGGTAAGCCTGTGTTCTTTGGGGAAGAAATCAGATGATTTGGGGCTTGAGTTTGAGAAGCCTAAAAAGGAGGCAGTTGAATGTTCACATCTAGTGTTGGGGAGCAGTAATCAGGCTGGGAAATGCAGATTTGGGAGGCATTAGCATTAACACCATATACCCTGAAGGAATTTGCATAGGGAAAGAAGAGAAAGTGGTCCAGAACTGAACCCTGAAGCATTGCAACATTTAGAGGTGAGAAGGGAGGGAAGTCAGCAGAGGGCCAGTAATGTAGGAGGAAAGCCAGAAATACTGGGTGTGGAAGCTAGGGAAAGAGGGAGTTTTAAGGAGGGATGTTTGCCTCCACTTGTATTAAATACTGCTGCCAGATCAGGTGTGATGAGGACAGAGACATGCCATTGGCAATATGGAATGCATTGGTGACCTTGGCTAGAGCAGTTTCAGTGTCATTATTGGGTTAGAAGCTGAAGAGGACCAAAGAATGAATAGAAGGTAAGGAATTGGAGACAGTGACTAGAGATGATTGCTTTTGAGAAGTTTTGCTGTGAAAGGGAGTCTAGAAATGGAATAATATCCTGAGGGAGGAGGTAGAGTCAAGGGAGATTTTTTTTCTTTTTGTACTTTAAAAAAATTGGGAAATACCAAAGCTTGTTCATGAGCTGATGGGAATGATCCAGTAGAGAGGGAAATTAATGGTGATACAAAAAAGAGGGATTAATTATGGAGACAAGTCTTTGGGGTGGCGCTGGTGGGATGGGTTGGAGGGCACAAGTTGGGGGATTGCCCTTTTCTAGGAGGGGGGACCCAATGGTATAACATGATCTCACACGCCCCTGTGTACACAGCTCCTCCCTTCTGTCTCACCAGACTCCTTTAGATCAAGTTGATCATCTTCTTTCTCTAATCAGTAATTTTTTTTTCTGTGCTACATCTTATGTGTTCTTTTGAATTTAATTTATTCTATATAAGGCTTAGCATATAGCAGGTGGTGATTTTTAACACCAGTTTTAATTTTTGTGCCAACAGGTGAAGCAAAAAATTTATTGCCATATCTTGGACCCCACAAAATGAGAGATTGTTTCTGCACCATAAATTTGGACCAGGAAGAGGTTTACCGTACCCAAGTTGTTGAAAAATCTTTAAGGTTTGTAAAACAATTGGTAAATTATCATTTGTATGATATATATTGATTGAAACATTTTATACATACATTTCCTAGGCAGCCATCATCAAGAAGACATTTTTCATCTGGAACTTTTACTTTTCTTTTACATTCTGAGTTTATTTTTAGAATTATGGAATCTCAGAGTTTAAAGGATCCTTCATGTTCATTGAGCTGGACTAAATGCCTTATGCTTAGTTCATACTGACAATTATCTTTGACAAGTGATCATCTGGCATTTGCTTAATAATGTTCCAGTGACCAAGGAGTTCACTGCCTCCTAAGCAGCCTGTTGGGTCTTGGAACCATTCTGACTCTTAAAAAACTGTTGCATTTAGTTGATTAATGTCTATCAAAAGGAGAATGTACTGCATGCCAAGAACTTGCTGGGTGCTGTTTATTCATACAACCACGAGAACAAGACAGACTCAGTGCTTGCTTTCATGTGACTTTTCATTGCCTCAAAATGTATCTTCCTCTTAATTGTTTTTAATTCTGTCCCCTGGATTTCTGGAGAACAAGTTTAATCCATGTTTCACATGACACTCTTTCAAGTTTTTGAAAACAACTGCCATATACCTCAGGTTTTTCTCTAGGCTAAATTTTGCCCATTCATTCAAACTTTTCTCAAAGTTCATCATTATTTTATTACTCTTGAGAATAAATTACCCCTTAAAGTTTGTACAAGTCACTTAACTAAGTAGGGCATTGTAAGGGAATGAACTCCTAGGTAGATTTCTCATCTTTTGAAAGTGTAATGGCACTTTGAGGATACCATAGTAAATTCTAATTCATCAAGTTGGAGTGTACCGCCTCTTCTCTGCAGATAGTGTTTGTGGACATAATTCTAGTGCAGAGCTGTGCTGTAAGGATGCAGTCTTATTCAGAGGTACGAGTTAAAGCTAGGGAACGGAGAGTTGTTGGAATGAACATACGGTGGATGAGATATTTAGTAACCCAAAAAGAGTTAAAGTAATACACTTCACATCTTTAATCATAAATCAGCTGTCCCTGTTGTATTAGAATTCTGTTGTTACTTACATGTTATAAATGATGAAACTGAGTCACCAAAAGGCTGAATAATTTGTGCATATAATAAAGGAAGTTAGAAGCAAAACTGAGATTGGGACGTGAAACTATTTAAATCTTAATTTGTTACTTAATGTATGTTGATTCCATATCGCAGAAAAATCAGTGACTTACAAAACTAGTAATTTTTAATAAATTGAATACTTTGGGTTGTTCCTGATATGTAGACTTGTAAATGAGTAACTGAAATTAGTTTACTTTTTTGTTTGTTTGTATTAAACCCTTGCCTTTCCAGATATTTGTGTTGGGGAAAATTATAAAACCAATTATTCTTATCCATCTTAAATTATTTTTCTAGATGCATAGCAACTTGGAAGATATTTTAAGGCTAGCAGTGGTTACCTGAGGTCATTTCAATATAGTTAGATATTTCTTGGATTCTAGGTGCCCCCCCTAGCATGTTCCCTTGTGGAATAGGGTGAAAGAACCTGTAGTACAAAGCCTTCCTCACTTTGCTTTCATTTCATTGTTTTCTACCCTTGTGTATAATGTGATAAGCTAAGTCAAAAGTCGGCAGATACCATTTAGATCTTTATGGGTTCTGAATATTATAGTTTTTATAGGCAGTCTGGATATAGAATTTTCATATCAGGTAAGTAGGAGTCACACATGGAATCCATAGCTCCTAAATCTCTACCTTAACTCCTTTTAAGGAGTAGGTGGTCTGTAAACAAATCGAGTAACAGCAATACTGCTTCTCTTCTCCACACCAGGAACTTCCTTAGGAGTGATAAGCGTGATCATAGGTCAGTGATCATAGTAGAGTATTGCTTTAAATAAGTCTGGTCATTGCTCCTTACCAACCTTGTTGAAAAGTTTTCTTCAAATACATTGATTAATCAATTAATTAATTAATTTATAAAATAAAGACGTGGACACCCAGATGTGGGGATTAATTTGTTGAGATTGTGGTAATATAGTGATACAGATGACTTAATGAATAGGTCTCATCTTGTCCTTATTTGGCCTTAGAATGTGTTTTTAAAATAATAGTTGAGTGTGGATATGTGATATATAAAGGAATTTCTTAATTTTATGATTGTTTGTAAAATGATGCAAAGGAGGAAAATTCCTAAACATGTTGTGTCTTTGCCTGATAGTTGTTTTTGTATTGCTTTCTATGTTGAGACTAAATAGAAGACTAGTTACTGTGACAGACCAACTTTTAGAAGTTTATTTTGGTTACGTTTGAAGTGAAAAACATATTGACAGACGTTGACCAGGCATTGTAACAACTAAAAAGCTGAGCTGGCAGTTTTCTGGACAGGGTCCTAAATGACTTCTTTAAGAGTCATTTACTTTGCATTTCAGCTTCTCTTTAAGTCGTGACATCCTGAAGAAATTATATTTTATGGTGACATTTTTAATGTATCTTTTTGCTCTTTAAACATTTTCAGGAAAGAGGTACTTTGACAGATGATGTTAACTAGCATTTCAGAGATTCATGTCTTCATGGGAGAATTTAAATATCAAAATAGCATTTTTAAAATGAATTTAGAAAAATAAGCTGTTTCATAGGAGAAAATCTTAGCAACTTAGGGGTAAGCAAAGATTTCTTTACTTAGGATGCCAAAAGCATCAGCCATAAAAGAGGTAACTTGATAAATTGGATTTTATCAGAATCAGAGCCTTCTGCTCTTCAACAGACACTGGCAAGAAAATGAAATGGCAGGCCACGCCTGGAAGAAAATATTTTGACAAAGGACTTGTATCCAAAATTTCTTTAAAAAAAAATAGAAGATAGATAACCCTTTTAAAATATGTGGGGAAAATTCAGACAGATGTTTCCTAAAGTAAGATATACAAATGGCCAGCAAGCACATGAAAAGATATTTAACATCATGAGTCATCAGGGAAATGTAGTTTAAAACCATTTCTATCACTATAGATTCTTGAACATAATGTATCATGATAGAAATCAGACCACTGGTCCCTGTGATAGTATGAAGTGACTGTACAAGGGGACTTTCTAGGGAGATGGAAATGTCTTTATCTTGATTGGGGTAGAGATTACACAGGGGTATAAATTTATCATGTCAAATTCACTAGAATATCTGATTTTAAAAACTTTTGGTAGCAGAAGTTGACAATGATACAGAGCACCTGGAGCTCTCTCCTGCACTGCTGGTAGAAGTGGAAAATGGTACAATCAGGTTGGAAACAGTTTGACAATTTCCCATAAATTAAAAATTCACCTACCCTTTAACTCAGCAACTCCACTTTTAGTTACATACACAGAAAAACTGAAAGTGTAAAAGGGCTGTGTGTACAAATATTCATACAGCTTTATTTTTAATTGCCCAAATTGGAAGCAAGTCAGATGACATCACTAGGAGAATGGATTGTGGAATATTCATAAATGGAATGTTATCCAGCAATTAAAGCTAATGAACTAGTGATATGTGTAACAAAATGGAAAAAAAATCTCATAGAC